TGGTGTATCACCCTCATTTGAGCAAATTGACTCCGGGGAAATGAATGGTGCAGATTAGAGGGGTGAGGAAAGGCAAAAAAAAAAAAAAAAAAAAAGAAAAAAAAAAAAAAAAAAAAAAAAAAAAAAAAAAAAAAAAAAAAGAAAAGAAAAAAAAAAAAAAAAAAGAAATTAAATCCAGCTGCCTCTACCAGCTGCCACAATGCCTCATTCTACATACATATATATATTTATACATATATTCCATATGTTCTGTGCACACACCAGGTGTTTTGTTTGGGAAAATACTTGGAAAAAAGGGAAAATAGAAATAGAAAACAGAAATATCTGCACCTGAAGGTAACTGGGACTGTGATGGAGGAAAATGAGAGCTGGGTATGAAGATACAGAAAAAATAATAATGCAGAAAAAATAATGCAGATAATATGTAAAGAAATAAAGATGTAGAATTTATAAATAGATGAAGATTTATAAATATAGAGAGAATTTATAAATAGAGAGAGAATTTATAAAGAGAATTTTTATAAAAATATGTAGCATATATAGAATTTATTTGAGAAACTGAGGCTGTGGGCATTTTGAATGTAAATTTTCCAGGGAAAACAAGAATCCTAAAAAGGGAAAAGGAGAATCCTAAACAAGGAAAAGGAGAATCCTAAAGAGGGAAAAGGAGAATCCTAAACAGGGAAAAGGAGAATCCTAACTAAGGAAAAGGAGAATCCTAAACAGGGAAAAGGAGAGAAGCAAAATCCTAAAGAGGGAAAAGGAGAATCCTAAAGAGGGAAAAGGAGAATCCTAAAGAGGGAAAAGGAGAGAAGCAGAATCCTGAACAGCTCCAAACACTTTGGAAATGGAAGCAGACAAGGAGCAGGGAAGTGTTTCCTTATAAATGCAGGAATATTCCCAATAATTGGCAGAAAAAACAGGAATTGGTCTTTTTTTTCTTTTGGAGCAACTGCTCCAGCTCAAGGCTGAAAATTGGGAAATTTAAGGAATTTATTTACCCTGATGGGAGCACTCAAGCCCAGAGCCAAGTTGCCAGCCCTCCACCAAGCTCTGTTTAAATTCCTGATTTTCCTGGGACGTGCGTTTCCCTTTTGGGGGATTTTTCCTGCTGGGAAAAATCATCCTGAAAAATCCAGGATCCGTCAGATTCCACAGTAAATCCAGCGCCAGGAACACCACAGGATGTGATGGAGCTGTCCCAGGAATCTCCAGACGAAAATTCAGGTTTAAGTTCTCAGGTGTGGGAATAATCAGGAATTCCCAGTGCAATTTTTAGGGAACAGCAAACAGGGAATAAATGCTGGGGGTGGCTGAGGATGGGAGAGGGGAGAGAAGATTGGGCAGGAAAAGAGGCAAAAAAGCTTCTCCTGGAGACAAAGAGATCCTTGATCCTTTGGGGATTCCCAGCACATCCACACCTTTTCCAAGGAAGTTCTGGAAGCCACTGGAAAACCCTCTCCTGGTCAGGTTGGTACTTTGGGATAGAACACCAAGATTCCCTGGATCTCATCCTTGGAGCCACGCTGGGGTAAAAGATTCTAAAAGATTCTAAAATATTTGAATGGAATTCTTACCCATGATTTCTCTGGAGCACATGGATACACTCAAAAAAAAAAAAATTCCATGGTAAAACCAAAAAGAAAAGCAAAAGATGGTAAAAAAAGTGATATTTTTTGCAAAAAAACCCCATGCCAGGATCAAATATTCTTTAGGATGGAAGGGATATTTCAGCCTCCAGTCCTGGAATATCAAGGGGAGGTGCAAGGATGGTGTTTTGTGTTTTAAACTTTGGGATAAAGGTGGAATTTATTCAAGGAAAAGCTGCTGGATTCTGTATTTTCTCCACATGGACAATGTGAACTGCTGAGAACAGGAACAAGTCCAGGACCTCCCGTCCATTTATGGGCTCCGCAATCCATGAAATCTTTCACTTCCACCTCCAGAAATCAAGAGATTTCCACAGGAAACATCTTCCCTAGTAATTATTATTATTTTCCAGAGCTCGGGCTGGGTTAGGAACGGGAGAATTCTCCTTTTCCATCATTCCCAGTGCTCCCAGTTCAGCTGGGATCAAGGTTTTATCAGCACTGCCCACAGCAGAGATAATCAGGATGCCCCAGGAGGCTTCACCCAGGCCTGGCTGTCCCAGATAAGCTGGGCTGGGGCAGCAAAAATGGGGAAAAAAAGGAAAATAAACCTTTCCCTGCAGCCTCCTGGGAGCTTTCCCGAGTCCCTGAATTTTCCTTGGGTTTTCCCAGCTTTTCCTGAGCTCTGCTCTGCTCAGCCAGCTCAGCTCCAGCAGGGATTTCATCCATCTCAGCTCGTGCTTCCAGCAAAAGGCAGGTTTTTTTGGGAGAAAAAAGGGGATTTTCAGCAAGAGCCTGAGGAGAAAAAAGGGGTTTTTCAACAAGAGGAAGATTTTGGGAAGAAAAAAAGGGATTTTCCAGCAAGAGGAAGACAAAAAAAGGAGGTTTCAGCAAGAGCTTGAGGAGAAAAAAGGGGTTTTTCAGCAAGAAGCAGTTTTTTGGGAAGGAAAAAAGGGATTTTTCAGCAAGAGGAAGAAAAAAACTGAAGTTTTAGCAAGAGCTTGAGGAGAAAAAAGGGTTTTTTCAACAAGAGGAAGATTTTGGGGAAAAAAAAGGGATTTTCCAGCAAGAGGAAAACTTTGTGAAGAAAAAAAATGAGGTTTCAGCAAGAGCTTGAGGAGAAAAAAGGGGTTTTTCAGCAAGAGGAATGGTTTAGGAAGGAAAAAAGGCATTTTTCAGCAATAAGCATTTTTTTGGGAAGAAAAAAAAGGTTTTAGCAAGAGCTTGAGGAGAAAAAAGGGGGATTTTCATTTTGGGAAGGAAAAAAAGGCATTTTCCAGCAAGAGTAAGATTTTGGGAAGATAAAAAGGCATTTTTCAGCAAGAGGAAAACTTCGGGAAGAAAAAAAAAGGAGGTTTCAGCAAGAAGAAGATTTTAGAAAGGAAAAAAAGGCATTTTTCAGCAAGAGGAAAATTTTGGGAAGGAAAAAAGGCATTTTTCAGCAAGAAGCAGTTTTTTTGGGAAAAAAAAGGAGATTTCAGCAAAAGCTTGAGGAGAAAAACGGAGTTTTTCAGCCAGTTTTTGGGGAAGAAAGAAATGGATTTTTCAGGAAGAGGCAGTTTTTTAGGAAGAAAAAAAAGGGTTTTTCAGCCACTTGAAAGACACTCGTAGGGTGAGGGAAGCTCCTCACGAGGTGTGGGATAAACCAGTGGAAACCCAACAGATTTAAAGGAGCAAGGGATGGAAAACGGAGAGAAAAGCAGCAAAATCAACAGTGGAAGAGCCAAAAGAAATCAGAGATGTGAGCAGAATCCTGCCCCTGCATCCCTGCCAGTGTCCAAGGCCAGCCTGGATCGGGGTTGGAGCCACCTGGGATCCAGGAGGTGATGGGGTTGGAGGAGGTTTAAGGTCCCCTCCAAACCATTCCATGATTTAAGACTGGTTTGGGAAGTGGGGAAGGACAAAGGACAGGCAGCAAACAGTGGGAATTCCCACTTGGAATGTGCCTCTCCAAGAGAGATTTCCAGAGCTGAGTCAGGAGGAATGGCAGAACTCAAACCTCAGACATTTTTGGAGGTTTCAGGTCCAGGTCAGAAGCATTTGAGACCCTGGCACAGCTGGAAACAGCTGGGATTTTGGGTTTGAGCCATGGAATGATTTACCAACCTTGCAGGAAGAACAAGAAGTCACAAAATTTAGATTTTAGAGTAGAAGTAGTCACAGAGGGAAGAATTTGTGAGTGCTGTACAGGGGGGTCAGAGGTTTAAGATGGATTTGGGATTTGGGCCTGTCCTGTCCTCCCTCTTTCTCCTTCCTCACCTCCATGTTCTTGGTGATGTTGGCACTCACAGATTGGTTTAGAGTAGAAAATCACCATTTAATATAGGTAATAGGCATTGGGGAAAAACTGTGAACATGTAACACGTAATGTACCATATAAAAGATAGAAAATAATTTAATATAAGTAATAGGCATTGGGGATAAACTGTAAACATGTAACATGTAATGTGCCATATAAAAGATAGAAAATCACCATTTAATATAGGTAATAGGCATTGGGATAAACTGTAACCATGTCACACGTAATGTACCATATAAAAGATAGAAAATCATTTAATATAGGTAATGAGCATTGGGGAAAAACTGTGAACATGTAACACGTAATGTACCATATAAAAGATAGAAAATCACCATCTGGGGGTTCACAGAAGATTTCAAATCAAACAAAAAAAAATTAAATAAAAAAAAAGGGAAGGATGAACAGCAGCACCCCTCCCAAAAAGCACAATTCCCACTTGGAACAGATGATTCCTCATGCCACAGAGCTCCCAAATAAAATCTATGGGATTATTTGAAGGAAGCAGCCAAGACTTGCCAGCTCCAAAGGGGGATTTTGATGTTGGGAAGGGTTTCAGCAATTGGAATGGGCACCTGAAGGCATCTGAGGGGGTTTTTCCTGATCCCCAAGGATGGATCCAAGCTAAAAACCATTTCCTAATGGAATTTCCTACTGCTCTCCAAGGTGAAACAAGCCTGACCAGTCAAGCCAGCAGTTTTTTGGTGCTAAATCCCTGCTTTTCAGTTTTTCCATATATCTATTCCCTGCTCCAAGAGGATGGAGGCTTCAGGGGATGAAGTTCCATCCAGTTTTGGACAGAAAAACCCAAAAATTTGGTTTACCCCAATACCAAGAACTGTGGTCTTTGCTCCACAGTAAGTGAAGTTATTATTAAAAAAACTGGAATAGAGATTGAATTGATCAACGTACAAATATGCAGCCAAATCCTTCTCCTCCCAAAGCCCAAAATTCCTCCTTCTTGGGATCTGAAATCCCATAAAAACATTTTGCAGACTTAAAATCTGTGTATTACACTGGTATATCGCTCCACCTGCAAACTTTTGGCCCAAACCACAAGATTTTGAAGGAAAATGAGTATTTGTTACCTATAGATGGGGATTTGAAGGGGTATTTGTCGGGAAGGTCGACTCTAACTTTCCATACTCCACCTTCATACGGTGCTGCAAGGGAGGAAAAGCAGGAATTAGACACTGAGGAGAGGATAAACAGAACCAGAGCATGCAGGAAAACATCTCTGGAACAACCCACAGCTCCACTGGGGGTGAGATTCCAAAGCTCCCACGGGAAAAAACCTTTTTCCGGCTCTGCTTCACACCACGTGGAAAGATCTCAGCACGGAGATTAAAAACAGGCACTGTGGGATAATCTCCTGACCTTTGGAGACGGTGCAAAATGAAGGTGGAAAAGGCATTTTAGGGACAAACTCCATGGAAATTCCCATGACTGATGCAAGTTTGGCCTAGGGAAGCTCAGGGGTGCTGGGGGAGCTTTGCAGAGCTCCAAGGGATGGGGTCTGTCTGTGACCACGCTCACAGCTGGATGCTCCCCACCTTCCAGAAGATGGATTTCTCTCCATCCTCCTTGGATTTGCTCATCCCTTCCCCTCTGGAATGTCATTTCCTCATTCCCCAAGCTTTTTCTGGAAGGGCAGGGTGACAAACTTACTTCCTTGTGGTCCATAAAACTTCACGACAAATTCGTTGAGTCCTCCTAAGATTGTGACTTCGTGTTTGCTCTCGATCCTGGTGCAGCAAGTCAAGGAAAAACATCCAATCCAGGAAAAAAAAACATTTATTCACACCCAAGGAATTCACTCCAAGCCCGTTGACCCAAATATTCAAAATATCCCGAGCCCTGCATGGAATTTCAGCATCCTGACACATCCAAGTGACCACAGTGACGTTGGCAAAATCCAATTCCCCAACCTGAGGAATCCTGGCAGGAATCCTCAGATTTTTCCATTTTCCATCCCCTCCTGCACGGAGTAAACTCAGATTTGGGAGAGCACTGAGATATATTTGAAATAAATCCACTGCTCCAATGAATTCCATCTTCCCCTCTCACAGCTTCCATGCAAAATTGTGGCAATCTCACGTTAATTTGACTTGCAGGACCAAAAAACTCCCGAGCCTGGGGAGAGATGGGGTGAAAAGAACAGGAAAAATCAAAGTGCTTTGGGAAAAAGGGAATAAAAAGGGAAAGGCAGGAAATCTTAATTCCAGGCTCGGTTAAAACAATTAGTGGTGAAGTTTGATGAGGAGTTCTGCTGTAAATCAGGGTTAATGGATTTGGAATAACATCCTACAGTCTGGGTAAGAATTACAAGGGAAGCAGGAAAAAATCAAAGGTTTGTTCCCACCTGAACTTTGGCTCTGCAGCAGGAAGGGAACACGGAATATTTCATATAAAAATATAAAAATCCTTCACATCCCAGCAGGGCCTTGGCAGGAATGTTCCAGCTACAGGGAATTTAAAAATTCCTCTTTTTTCCCCCGTGGATTTTCCATTCAAGGTTTCCTTTTTTGCCCGGGATTGCAGGAATCCCACAGACCCTGATGGCACCTGGGCACACACTGAAATATTTGAAATATTCCCAACCAACCCAGCAGGAATTCCCAAAAAGCACCGGGAACAAAGAATTCCCACCTCAGAGCCCCGATTTTCAATTCCAACCTATGAAATCTGCTGTGTGAGAACAGGAATTCCAGGGTATTGGGAATTTTGGGATAACAGTGACAAAAACTGGGATAATAGAAATTCCAGGATAATGGGAATTTTGGGATAACGGTGACAAAAACTGGGATAACAGAAATCCCGGGATAACAGGAATTTTAGGATAATAAGGAAATTTAGAATAAGAGAAATTCCAGGATAATGAGAATTTTGGGATAACAGTGACAAAAACTGGGATAACAGAAATTCCAGGATAACAGGAATTTTATGATAATGGGAATTTTGGGATCAAGGGGGAAATTCGGGATAACAGAAATTCCAGGATAATGGGAATTTGGGGATAACAGAAATTCCACGATAATGGGAATTTTGGGATAACAGTGACAAAAACTGGGGTAACAGAAATTCCAGGATAATGGGAATTTTATGATAATGGGAATTTTGGGATCAAGGGGGAAATTAGGGATAACAGAAATTCCAGGATAATGGGAATTTGGGGATAACAGAAATTCCACGATAATGGGAATTTGGGGATAACAGTGACAAAAACTGGGGTAACAGAAATTCCAGGATAACAGGAATTTTATGATAATGGGAATTTTGGGATCAAGGGGGAAGTTCGGGATAACAGAAATTCCAGGATAATGGGAATTTTGGGATAATAAGGAAATTTAGAACAACAGAAATTCCAGGATAATGGGAATTCCGGGTCCTTGTTGTGGCAAAGACCTAAAATTCCTACCAAAAAAATCAGAGAGCGAATGAGGTTCACGGAAGGGAGAAATATTGGGATGAAAGTTTGGGAACAACCACATTGTCCTGGTGTTGCCAAATTCAAAAAATATTCCAGAGCCACAGAGGATCACAAAGGAATATTGTCCTTGTTGTGGCAAAATTCCTACCAAAAAATCAGAGCGTGAACGAGGTTCACGAAAGGGAGAAATATTGGGATGAAAGTTTGGGAACGAGCACATTGTTTATCAACAGGATACCAGAAAATCTTCCCTGTGAGAGGGGGAGTGAGACCCTGGCACAAATTCCCAGAGCAGCTGGGGCTGCCCCTGGATCCCTGGAATGTCCCAGGCCAGGTTGGATGGGGCTGGAGCAGCCTGGGATGGTGGGAGGTGTCCCTGCCGTGGTTTGGGTTGGAATTTTTAAGGTCCCTTCCCACCCAAACCATTCCCTGGCTCCTTGGCTGAGGACAGACTGAGAATAAAGTGGATTTCAGCAGCAAAGCCCTTGCGTCAGCACAGGGGACATCTCCAGAAGTGCATCAGCAGAAATGAAGCTGGGAAAGCCCTCCTTCCTCGAAATGAATTCCAGTTACTAACACAGCTGGGATGAACCATCTGCCCTCTCCCTTCTCCACCAAGATGCCCAGGAAAGAGGAATCTTGGAATCCCACCAGCAAAAGAGCTGAGAGCACTCCTGGGAGAACTGCATGGAGCTGGTACAGAGAACATTTCCTCCCTGTGAGATTTTCCACCTCCAAAAACTCCTCAGGAAAGGAAAGAGTTCTTGCAGAAGCTGGGACTCTGGGAAATCCAGGAATCTGAGGCAGATCTCCAGGCTCCTCCATCCATAACCCGTCCCAGCAGCACAGGGGAGCAGCAGGAGGGACTGGACACCTTTGGAGCAGTGTCCAGACCACATTCCCAGAGAAAGCTCCACATCATTCCTGCGATGTATCTGGGAGTGAATCCAGGCTCTGAGCCAGCTGTTAGCTCAGCTCAGGCTGAATTTTTTCCATAAGGCAAAAGTCTTAAAGCCAAACCCCAAATGAATTCTGCCCCAGACATGCCAGGAATTAATCAGCAGGCTCAGATCCAGGAGCAATCCAGACCCACAATCCTGAAGGAACCCAGCTGTGCCGAGGGCACTGGGATGTCCTCTCCTGCATCCAGGTTCTGGTGATGGATCCTGCTGCAATTCCAAGGAATTCCCAGGAATGAGAAACTCTCCACGTCTTCAGAAAGTGAGCACAGCTTCAGGAATGCCCACGAAAGGAGATCCAAGAACTTGGAGCAAGATTCCCACAATTAAGGTGATCTCCACACCTTTCTCCTGGGATTGCTGTATCACTGGATACTGATGTGTATCCCTGCAGAAAGCCCCCAGGAATCCAACCACACATCCAGCATTTTTTTTGGAAGACTATTTTGGAAGATTATTTTTTGGACCTTTTAGTCCATCCCGTCCAGGCTAATCCCCCTGCAGCCACATTCTCTCTCAGTGCACTTTTCATCAGTTAAATTTACAAAAATCCAAGCAATTAATGGATAAAGACTTTAAATATTCCTGATTTCAGGGGTTCACCCTGGAAGGAGCCCTTGTCCCCACAGCAGGACACAGAGCCAAGCTCACAGCTACAAATCCATCCTGTAACACATCCCACACCCTCAAATGTTTAAAAACCATCACCCAAATCCCTCCCGAGACTTTTGGCCTTGCTGCTTTTATCTCCTCATCACCTCAGGATGCCAACTGGAGCTGGTGCCAAAAAAACCCAGTGGCAAAGTCAAGGGAAAATAGAAAAATCTGGATATGAGTCAGATCTCAGAGCTCTTATTGCCACTGCAATAAGGAGTCCTGAGGACCTGAAGATAAATTATCTTACACCCAGAACTATGAAGAGAATTTTAACACCAGTAAATAGTGGGAATATTGAGATGATGCTATGGAAGCTTGTTTTCCAATAACAGCTTGGAAGGGCTGCTGGGAAAGAGCCAAAGGAATTTTTCAGGCTCCCCTTCCAGTGCCTGAAACA